TGGATTTTGAGAATAAGGTTATTTGTGGTTTATTAATATATTACAAGTATAATATATTAATATGAAATCATATTATTTAATTAGTATTGATCAAGAATTAATTTGGAATTAATTTTGTGGTCAAAAGAGACTAATTAAATATATGGGGATTGATTATGTAAATCAATGATTCTTGTAGTGTGGGCCAATGATCCATGATTATATAGATGGGCTAAACTAATCCATGGATAGTCCATGTAGGTTAAATCCATGGAGCATGAGAATGTGGAAAGTCATGGGTCATTAGGGTTTACAAAGTGTAACCCTAGCATGTGCAACACTATAAATAAGCCCCTCCTAGAGCCAAAATCGGTTTCCACTTACTTTCCAAGAGGGTGAAGTTGATTTTGTGCTAGTAGCCTATTCTCTCAAGCCTTCTCTTGCATATTGGTGTTTGTGAACCAATAGAGGCATCCCACTTGAGGTGCTCAAGCTTTTAAAGGTCAAGAACCACAAGTCCTTCTAAGAGGTAAGTCATCTAACTAGTTGTATCATTCAATTGTTCAAATGTATGCTAGTTAGGACAATGCTTTGGAAAAATTGAAAATATGCATGTATAATTAAAGAAAACATAGATCCAAAGCATTTAGGGTTGCATGTGCACCATAGGAGTGTTATAGTGCTCAAAACCCAACATGAACTCCGTTTGTGAAGGGTAGGTTTACTTGCTTGCTTCCTGACTAAGCAACTTCTATACGGATGTGTGATATTTCTTATTCTAGACATTCCCTCAACAATTTTCTTGTCTGACATATTCATTAGCGCGCCAAAATTCATGTGGCCCATCCTTGCGTGTCACAGCCACATTGTTGCATCATTCTTGACTAGCATGCATTTTGGTTCGTCTTCTTTCAGCAAGACTTCATACAGTCGATTTGGCGACCTCTTGTCCTTCATCACTAGTTTTGCCTTCATATCACGTACCCACAAGAAATCTCACCATATTTGAATTTGATATCCCGTTTCCGCCATTTGTCCTAGACTTAGTATTTTACTGCATTAGTCTGGTATATAGTAAACTTCTTTAAGTAGGCGTTTCTCATCATTGTTGCACTGAAATACTATTGACCCTTTCCCTTCAATTTGGACCTTAGGCCCATTTCCAAACTTTACATGCCCTTTGATCATCCGATTTAGATCCCAAAATTTTCTTTCGTCACCCGTCATATGATTGCTTGCCCCTGTGTCTATATACCACATACTAGAGTGATTTGCTTCATCACCATTAGTCTTTAACCGAGGGTGTACTTTCTCTTCATTTAAGAAGACTTGTACCACCTCTTTACAAGCATCAAGAGAGGTCAAAAACAGTGCATGTTTGTCTTCCATATCTTCTTGAGCAATATTGCTTTCATAATTTCTCTCTCGTCTCGGGTTCATGCAATCGCCGACGTAGTGTCTGTAATCATGACAATTGTAACACTGAATAGTACTCTTGTCTCGACTACCGAATGTGTTACAGTTTCCATCCCTTCATTGGTGGGAGCCTCCTCTCCCATGACCGCTATGTCCTCGGAATGATCCCGATCCATTTCGACTTCCTTTCTTTGAATCACTTTCCGATTGCATCTTCTTTCTCTCGGACCATTCTTCATGTGTCATAAGGAGTTTCTTCTCTTCTATTTCACAATGACCTTTCATTCTTTCTTCATGGGCCTTCAATCTTCCAATTACCACTTCTACTGTCATTCTGTCCAAGTAGCCGAATTTCTCGAGAGTCGATGGAATTTGCATGAATTTAGACAGGACAACTCGTAGGATCTTCTTCACCATGTATGATTCTTCTACCATGTCTCCCAAAGCACGCATGATGCTCACAATATTGTTCACTTTCACAATGAACTCATCTACATCTTTCGAATCTCTCATGCTTAATGACTCGAACTCCGACTTCAACGTTTGAATTCTCGCCTTCTTCACTCTATCAGCTCCCAAATACATGGTTTTGAGAGCATCCCACGCCTCTTTTGATGTTTAGCTTTCAGATATTGACAGTAACATGTCCTCAGGTATTGCTTGGTAAATAGTAGCCATCACCATTTTATCTTTCTTGACTTCAACAACCGTGTTCGTGGTTCTTGGCTCAACTTAATCCCATACGCCTTGATCTTGCATGAAAACCTTCATTTAATGGCCCAAGCAGCATAGTTAATTCTCGAGAGTATAGGATAGTGAAACATAACTGATCCATCTTTTTCATTTTTATTGCCTATTTCGGTCAATCGAGGTTGATATTTTGGCATACACCAGGTTGGCTATGCTCTCATACCAAATGTTGGGTATCAGCCTACCTACAAGTACAACTTCAGAGATAAAATGAAGAGAAAAAGGAACAAGAACACGATAGGCAAAGGTTTTCACTTTATTCAACAGAAAAATTCAAAAGACACTACAACTTTCAATGAGCTTTGCCAGGGCCGGTCCTGAGGAATTAAATATCCTCAAAGGCCCAAGACAAGCTAGATAAAAAGGGTCTTTATCATTATTATAAATTTTTATTTTTAAATAAATATATATAATAAAAAATTGAACCATGTGCAGCTGTCCACTTTGCCTAGCTATACAACAAAAAGAAAATTATAGAATCTCCTATACTAATAAAACAATACCAAAGTGCCACATGGCAGTTTCTCAATCTTCCCAAGCTATTTTTCCCGCTCAAATGTCAAAGTGAAATTCCGATATTGCCCGTTTGGTCAATTCACAGTGCAGTAAAATCAGGAATGTGATCTGCCGAAAATACCCTTATAGCCTTTAAAACTCGCATGTCATTACACTTCATTTTTAAGTTCAGATCATCTTTTAGGTAATCATCATTCATATCCCAAAAAATCAGCCATGAAATTTGAATTCCAAGGCAAGAAATCAGGGATTTATCTATATTTAAAATTGATGGGTGTGCTTTTACCTACATCGACAATTTCTTTTCTCAAGTCATTAGTCATCTACATTCTTATTTCCACATCTAGGAATCAATCAGATGTGTTTAGACGTGTGGTTTAAATTTATCGATTTTGAGCATGTTTTGAGAGGCTACAAAGATGACAACGAAAACTGATACAGTAGGGTAAACTGTATACGTTCTCTATGAATCACTTTTTGAAAATGAATTGATCAAGCCACCTAATGTAGATTGAAGCCAGGTGTGTTTTCTGTGAAAAGAATTGCGACTTTCTGTTTTGTTTTTCCATTGCAAGTTCAACATTTATCAACGTATTCTTGATTTCCTTTTGCGAATTTTTAACGATTTTGAGACAATTGGTTTGCAGTTTCCTACCATGGATGCCTAATGGCTTTCTTGAATGCTCTTCTCCAAATTTTTTCGAGCTTACAAAACATTTAAATGTTTTTGGGATTTATAGTGTTCCTTTTTTCCCTGGCAACTTACATCTCTATTTTCTAATGTTACAGGCCAGTAGAGCAATTCTCCTACCATTTTTCAATTATAATTGCTTTTTGGAAGCAAACAATTTCTTAAAATGTGCTGCTTATTTGGATAGTAAGAAAAATTTAACTTTATGTTGACATTGAAGATGACAAGCTGAGTGTTGTGCGGCATTTAGTTGTGAGTCATATACTACCTTTGTGTTTTTCATTGATTACTTTTTCTTTCCACTGTATTTTGAAAATTTATTCTAATATATGATTAAATCGGTTTGATAACAATTTCATGAATCAGGTTTGCTTTTGAACACTGGTCAACGTAAATTGTATTATAAGGAGGAGAAAATTGTTTCAGGAGATCTGATTCATCAGGGGCTCATCAACTATCAACAACACTGGTGCACTGTGGCCAATTATGTGCACAACAAGCATTTGGTGAAATGTCTGACTGTGAGTTTTTTAATATGCATGATTTTTATCATGTTTGTTTTAATCCTAATAAAAGATTGATTACCATGATAAAGTTGAGTTAAATTTTCATAAAAACGTTGTAGTCGAATCTCAATATTGTATGTGTTAGCTTGATTTTGGGTTTGGTTAAAGCAAGATTTTTTCATTAATTTAGAAGGGGATCAGTTTCCTCTAAATTATTAAATTGAACAAAATATAATCTTGATTTATGTTTTCTTGATACATGAAATTTGTGAAAGTGATCTTCATATGTGTTTTTCGGCTTTTTAAGCTCCTTATAATTTATTTGCTCTTCATGTGAAAGAGATCTCCATGTATGCGATTTAGAGGGTTTTTTTTTTCTTCAAATTATGTGTTTTATAATTGTACTCATGGGAACATGTGTGACCTAAGTTTATGCCACAAATATATACTACAAGCCCCAACGAAGTTCCAAAATAGAAGGTTTGTTTCATTACTGCGTTGGTATTCTCTTGGTTGGTAATTACTTTGTCAATTGAATAGTGTAACAAGGTCTTGGATGCAACAGTACTTACAAATGACAAGGTTAATATAAAAATTTTAAAAAAATGCATTATCGCTATTCATGATTTTTTATAAATTAATAATATCTTATTTTATTTTATTAGACAATCAAAATTATATCTCTATTCAAACCTAGTAAAAGAATAAAAGACGCCATTGAACCGGAAAGCACGAACTAATGGCCTTAGTGGCTTAGACTTGTTCAAAATTCAAACTCTAAAAAGAAATTAAAACACGTTTGAAATTCCTGGATTACATTAACATACTGGTCCTATACATAGACATGAAAACCTCTTTCACATCACATGTTTTCATTAAACATGTTTCACATGCATGGGATCCCACCACCTCCTTGGCTTCTCTATATCCATTCATCCGAAGACAACAATCTCCAGATCGATCTCCTAGGTCAGTCATTATCACTATAGATTGCGTTCATATACAGGTATATTTATTGTTCTTACCAACCAAAGAAGTGTCTTAAGTCGAGTAATAGTTATGAGTTGTTATATATCTTTTCATTTCCTTGATATTTTCTCTTATAAATACATTATAAACAACAACTTTCTACAACATTGGAGATGGAGAAAGCACATGAAGGCCATGTGTTGGTGTTGCCTTACCCAAGCCAAGGCCATATCAACCCTCTCCTTCAATTTGCCAAAAGACTCGCCTCCAAAGGACTTAAAGCCACCGTTGCCACCACCCACTACACCCTTTCCTCCATCTCCACCCCATACATCACTGTAGAGCCCATCTCCGACGGTTTTGATGATGGTGGTTTCACTCAAGCTCAATCCGCAGAAGTCTTTCTAGAGTCCTTCAAGTCCCATGGCTCACGTACACTCACCCAAGTCATCAAGAAACACGAAACCACTAAGTATCCAATCACTTGCGTTGTGTATGATTCCTTCTTTCCTTGGGCTCTTGACGTGGCTAAGGAGAATGGGATTCTTGGGGCACCGTTTTTCACCAACTCCGCCACTGTGTCTGCCATTTTCAGCCGGATACATGGCGAGACGTTAAGGTTGCCGGTGAGATTGGAGGATTGTCCGGTGGTGCTGCCAGGGATTCCGCCTTTATATTTGGAAGACTTGCCGAGCTTTCTGAATGCACCTGAAAGTTATCCGGCCTACTTGAAGATGAAATTGAACCAGTTTTCGAATTTGGAGAAGGCTGATTGGATTTTCTGCAACTCTTTCCAATCATTGGAACCTGAGGTATGCATATAATGTAACAATATTTTAATATGAAATGTTTTATCTTTTCATAATAACCACGTGTGGTAGGAGGATCAAATGATATTGTTTATCTCAAAAAAAAAAAAAAAAAAAATAATAATAATAATAATAATAATAATATGGTTAAGTTTTTTTATTTTATAATTACTCCGAATTTCATTTGATGGATTTGTTTAAACTTAAAACAATCTTATTGTTTTAATATCTTTTTTGAAAATAAAATAATGAAACAAATGATTATGTCTTAAGGCATTTGATATACCAAGGAACAAACCTCTTTGTGGTCTATGTTGCCACTAACCACTATTATGCACATCATCCCACAATTTAGTGGTAGTGGTGGATCAGAAGCCAAGTCCAATACATTTCTTTCTTTCTTTATCTTTTATCTCTCTCTTTCTCTTGACTTTCTCTATCTCTCTACAATAAAAAATATATTTTTTTTATTTAAAAATCAAAAAATAAAAGAATTATAGTGATGGATATATTGGATGGTCTTATATTAAAAAGCTAGACTAGGAGAAAAATTCCTTAAAATGTCTTGAAAATTATAAACTTCTTTCACATCAATCTAACAAATTATATAAAAACTCCTGCCACGGTTCATTTCCCATTAATAATATATATTTACTCTTTTTCTTAAACTCGTTACTTTTATATATATATATATATATATATATATATATATATATATATATATATATATATATATATAGGGTGAAGTTCAATAGAGAACTATAATAAACCAATAAACCACGGAACCAATCTTTTATTCAACTTTTTCAATTTATTTTTTATCGAAAAAAAACTAAAAATACAGAAATTCATAACTTTTTATCCTTTTTTCAATCATATCAAATTTGATTTTTTTTACGTCAAATTCACAATGTGAATATTTGAAAATTCACAATGTGAATCCGAAAAATATTTTTCACATTCACAATATTAATATATGAATTTAAATATTTTTAGATTTTTTTCGATAAATAATAAGCTCTAGAAATTGAAAAAAAAAATTGGTTCCTTGAAGAACTAATAATTATGGTTCTCTATTGAACTTTTCCATATATATATATATATATATATATTATATATAGATATATATATATATATATATATATATATATAGGCCTAGGTTATTCTATTCAAACTAATTATTGTGTTATTGTATGCATAAATATGGGCCAATCATTTTACTTATTTTAAGAGAGTGATTAATACATATTATTGAATTAAAAATAATCGAAAAATACCATCAAAACAACTTTTAATTTCGGATGAACAACATACAGAAATTGTTCATACCACACCACCCCCAAATCACTACTTCTAAGAAACAGAAGTTGACGCATCTAGAGGCTGCTAAAAAAAACTAATTTCTTCCTTCTTCATTTCTTGTGAATCAACAAACCCAAATTCCCTTCATTTTCATTGATTTCCCAGCAAACCCAAACACCCTAACGATTTCTATCAAACAAACAAACAAAATCCAAAAAGAAATTTTTACCTGTGGTTGATTTGGAACTGCCAAAACAAGGAAACATCGTGATCTTCGAGCAAACACCACCGAGGTCCTCACCTGCGACAGATGGCTGCCATCAGACCCCCATTTCCCCTCGTTTTCTTCCGCGAAGAAGATTAGGTGCGATTTTGGGAGGTGTCGATCGGATTTGAGAAGTGAAGAAGGAAAAAACAATACTGGCTTCAATTTAGGGTTTTGAATCTTGATGCCGATTGAATGTTATAAATATATCTGTGCTTCTTGCGATTTACTAGGAATACAGCTAAGAAGAGTCAATGGTTACCATAATTATAGGATATTATTTGTGGAAACTAGTTATCAAATTACCTATTTACCCTTATTTATTTATTTAATTATTTATTTTTATTTTAAATTTTGATTGACTCACATTGATGAATACAATAACACAATACTTAGTTAAAACACCTGAACCTATCTCTCTCTCTCTCTCTCTCTATATATATATATATATATATATATATATATATAATGATTTATTTTATTCTTAAATACACATCAAAGATTATAAATATATGTTAAAGTTATTAATTTATAAATGTTAACTAACTATTGTATTGGTTTTATTTATTTAAATAGTAACTCGTACCTAGATCCGGTCCTGGAACTAGCAAACTTTCACAGGTTTTGGTCAAAGATATGTACAATTTATGATATAAACTTTTTTACACGGTAAAAACATACATTTTGATCAAGTTTCTATCGTTTTTTTACTTGATTTCATATGTGACATGGTATAAATATAAATTTTTTATATTTGATATTTTTGGTAGGCCAATATTATTAGGTTAAAATTTTGGAAGTATATAGCATATATGTTTCTCTTTTAAATCGTGACCACGTTCTTTAAAGAAAATAGAAAGAAAATTAAATGGTCTTTACTACTCGATTAATATAACTTGTGTAAGTATAAAAAAATGGTCTAAAATAACAAAAAAAACTTAAATGTTTTTTAATCAAATTAATATATAACATTGATAATGATGTATACTAAAAGCTTAATAGATAAAAGGTACTAGCTACAACTTTTATATAAAGATAAGGGGTGAATTTTGAAACATTCAAGTTATTTAAAGAAGTTTAATGATATTGTATAAAAAAATCATCTTTCCAAATAAATCAAAATCTTTTTGCAACATGTCTTCTTTTCCTTCGTTTGGACACATGTCATTTTCTAAAAATTTTGAATTTTCTATTTTCCACTTGTTATTTTATTGTATTTTTCATTTTATTAAATTAAAATTTCACATTTAATATATAAAGTATTTATTAGAAAGGGTTTATATATGTAATGTATTCAATGTATTAAAGCCTTATTAATTTAAATAATTTAAAATTTTTCTCATTTTTTTCTTATAAACTCAAACCTCTCAAATTGTTAAAATTTCATATATATTTTTTTTAAATAAACTCATGTAATACATGAGTCTCACACCTAGAAGTATAAATAATGATATTGTATAAAAAAAATCATTTCTAATAATCAAAAGTTTTTTTACCACTTGTCACACTCTCGTTCAATATGCCAAATGTTATTTTGTGATTAATTTGAATTATTTTTTTTACACATCATTTTATGAGTTTTTCTATTTTATTAAATTCCATATAATATTTTAATATAATAATTACAATAAATATAATAATAAATGAATATTAATTTCATTAATAAACTTACTTTTTAATGAAAAAAAGGAAACTAATCATAAATATGTATCAATTGAAATGAAAGAAACATTACATGGTTGGTATGTTTAATCCAAAAACAGAAAACACTTAGGATTCTTCAAATAGAATTTTTGAAAAATATCCATTCTTTTAGAGTTTAGATAAGTTAACGAATTTAATCAAGAAAATCTCTTATAAAATTTGTCTATGGGTGTTTTCGGCACGGAACTTTTGGGAGCGTCTGAGAGCTTCTAGCTTCTAGCGTTTGACAAAACGCTCTGTTTTGAATAGAAAGCTTTGTTTGACACTACAAGCTTCTAGCGTTTAATTCAAACAAAACGCTACAAATCCAAATGCTACTTCATGTAGCGTTTAACAAAACGCTACAAGCTACCCGCTACCAATTAATTTTGCCGAACACGCCCTATGAAGAAAAAAAAAAGTTCAAAGTAAATATAAATTTTATGAACAAAGCCCTATATGTATTTCCTGGAGCCGCAGTCCTATATTTTATTTCAAATAGTTCTGTTTTATATTTTTAATTAACTTTTTCATAGTTGATAGACATATTAAATTATAATGTTTTCTAATAAAACATGTGGGTGAATATAAATATTTTATATAGATTATGATTGATTTTTATTTTTTTTTTATTTTTAATTTTTGTGTGAATTAACTATGGTTATAATAAATAATTACTAAAAATCATTCTTCAATAATTACTATTAGTTTTTATTTTAAACAAAAATTTCATAAATAGCTACTTGAAATGGTTTTTTGGAAGCAGTAAACTTTTATTATTATTATTATTATTATTATTATTATTATTATTATTATTATTTTTGTAATATTACAATTTTAAAAGCTTTATACAAATAAAATCTAAAACTTTCGGTTTTCAAATGCCATCTAGTTTGTGTTAAAACACACCCAAAATATAATGATTATATACTTACAAGTGTACGTGTGTATTTATACTTTATGTGTTTTTTTTTGTTTTAAAACTGGTATAACAATACCATTTTGTTACATTTGTTTCTAATCTCTGATTATAATATCATGTTTCAACAATTGTTTTTTGGTTATAACTTCTTTTTTCAACAATTTTGTTTTTTGAACATAACTTTTTTTTTTTCTTTAATTAAAAAAAATCTGAAAAAACCAAAGTTCTTAAAATTTAATTCTCTATAAAATGAGCAGTCATTAAAATTTGAAAAAAAAAATATTTTAATAATTTTTTTTATAAAAAAACACATATTTTTTTTTCCAAAAATCATAAAAATTTAAGGGATACTTCTACTCAATATACTAGTGACTTTGTAAAAAGAATTTTTCAAAAAACGTTTTTGAAGTACTTATTTTTAATTTGGAGAAATATTACTTTTTTAAAAAAAAATATTAAACATAATATGATCCAAAATGTGATGATTTAAAATATTTATGATTCAAAAAAAACTTTTGATTCACTTTGTTTATGATCTAAAAATATTTCGACTCACATATTTTATAATCCTTAATTATATTTTTATTATTTAAAATTAAATGATTAAAAATATATATAATGATCAATAATTTTTTTTGAACAAAAACTATATTTAATTGAATATATTATTGATCCAAAATCATATGATTCAAAAATGATTTGATTAAAAATACTATGATTCAAAATATTTTGATTCAAAATTTTATTATCCAAAAATAATATGATTCAAAAAAAGTATTAATGGAAAATATTACGATCCTTAATATTCTTCTTATTAAAAAATTTATAATT